AAATGAAGATAATCGAAAAATACGACCACTCCCGATGGAAATTTGCAACTTGTGCAGTAAAATGTACATTGTTTTGAGTTTTAAAAATCGTCACTATGATGTAGTTTAGTTAAGTTTTCTTTATTAACGAGACTTTCAGCCTTGGTATGGTTCGTCGCGTAGTCACTATGATGTAAACAAATGGATTCCATAACATTTCCTTTCAAAATCGGCTAGCGCACTCTACATTGATGGTGCATGAAAAGAGCCTATGGAAAAATGTAATATGCATTCCCAATGGAAACTACATGAAAACTTTTTTCCGTGTACTAATTTCATATGTACATCGGGATGTTGCTCATATTAGAAAATAAATTCCTGTAAAATCTCGTAAAGTTTTACTCAGTCTATGAGTTAATTACGTTTTCAAGAATATGAGTGAACTAATTTCAACTTGGAGTCGACCTCATTTGTCGTGTAATCGTAATTTTTCTTTTTTATTAATTGCTTTGAACGTATACGGCGTAAATGGATCCATTCCCAACTCCAATGAGCTTCAATTCGAAAGCAGGCCTTTTTTGCTCGAACATGACTTTTACTTACAACATTTTGCATCTTTTTCATGACCCCCCTCCCCCCGTCACACGCAAAACTTTTATGCAGCCTAATTACAGACATTTCTGAAATTCACAGACATTTTCGCACACTTCTGAAAAAAATCTGGCATCTCTGATAGATAGAGATAGAGATAGCGATAAAAGAGTAAGAAGCCAGTTGTCTCCTCTTCTTCTTAGATTCTCATTCACTTTTTTAATAGAAACTAAGCGATCGATTCAACCTCTGGCAGTGAAAATGAGAACGTCAAAAAGAGTGTTGTTTATTTCCAGTCCCAACAGAGCAAACATTTAAATCCAAGAGCAAATGTTTTCTTTCACGAGCTCAATCGCTCAACATGCCATGTACATTGATGCCACAATACACTGAAGTCTTTTTTTGCACGGTTTTTGTTACGCGGTTTTTTTTTTACACGGATTTTCGCGATTTACACGGTACGTTTTTAACGATTTCTCGAAAACGATACAACCTATCGACTTGATTTCAATCACATTATCCTTTTTAAGCTATAGGTAATCGAATGGCATACTTAAAAAAAAAAAAAAACAATTTTTGGTGTAAATACAGAAATTTTTAAGTATGTCTGTATGGACCATAGCATGCTTTAAATACAGATAGCATCAAAATCCGATTTTTTTTTTAAAAACATTTAAGCATGTGAAAAATCAAAATCTCGTAGGCTTTTTTACACGTTTTTTTTTACACGGTACGTATCCCCCGTGTAAAAAAGACCAGAGTGTATGTGAATTCTCTTCCACAGACTACAAAATATAGTACCTGGCCCTGGAAAAAGTTTGAACCCTTATTTATGCAATTACATTTCCCATCAAGGGGCGGAGCTTGGTAAGCATCATTATCGTAGAAATATATCTGTAAGAAAAGAGGACCTCCGAATGTTAATCTAACTGCATATTTAGAGGGACCATACATGTTTGGACCGCAATGCTCTCTGTTAACAATCAACGGAACTAAGTGTAATCGTAATTTTTTAGTGACATCTGACGGGAAATTGACGCAGAAGCATGATAATATGATTAATCAGTGACTTGCTGATCGCTATTCACGAAGAATGGGTGAAACAATGGGCGACTCTCATAAAGCAAAAAATGGCAGGTTTAATGTGTTAAACACTAACTTTACGACCTTTTCTTCATACTTAAAAATACAAAATATCATCCAAATATCTTATGATTCCACAATATTATAACATGTAAGATCTATTACATCGAAATCTATCCCTAAGCTCTCTTCTTATTGACGATTATGAACCTCGGTTTTGAGATTAGAAACAAGAAAAGTTTCGCACCAGGTTTCAGATTTGTTTTTCTCACTAAGAAGACCTATTTTGATAGCTGAGAAGGCGCACGTTTGAAGAAATCCCAGAATTTTCCAAAGATACGCAACATCAGGATTGAATGCGGATTCATGTGAGACCTATTCCGACTGACTGGTGGTTGATCTTTGGAGGAGATACGGAACATCTCAATTGAAATAGAATTCTCAGGATAACTGTATTGATTGATGAGAGGGCGCGTCTTTGGAAAGGTCTCAGAACGTCTCGAATGATGCGGCACATCACAATTTATTTATTTATTTATTCGTGATCAATCAAATGTTGACCAGTTTGAATGAGGATTCTTGTGAGACGATCATGTAGGGAAGGTGTTAGTGGTGTACCTATAATTGCAGTTTGTGCCGGAAAAGTGAAGATAAGATTATTTTTCATCGGTAGCTTTCCTAATGTCAAACTTAAGATTAGCCCAAAAATGATGAAATACACTTAACTTTCCTTAAGATTTCAACTCTTTTGCACCTATAGTTGTGATCATGATTGGCATGAACAGTTGTACATACCAACTGCTCATTTGTTAATAACTTTTCACTCAGTTGTTGAAATGTGTTTTTCTCTAAAGTAATTAATAGATTAGGATCGTAGTTTACTATAGATAAGCAAAGAGTAGGTCCGAGATGTGCAGCGAGCATTTCTCACTTCATTTTTACAACGCAAAAACAAATACAGTTTATTACTAGAATTAAAATCTACTTCTTTTTACGTATCTATAACACGCTTAAACTCATTTCTATCTAGGGTTCACTACCTCATTTACGGCCTTTTAGGCACAACCCACACTTAGTCTTTCTTAATCTTGCGTAGTTTAGCACCAAACGGAATGTTATTATTACTGATGGCTTCCATATTTATTCACCTTTCCGTACGTATCGTAAGATTTGATAAAGAGTAACAAATTGTTGATAAATTTATTAAAAGTCTAACACTGATTCTTGACGCCAAACTCGGCCTACAAATTCTAAACTCGGCTTAACGCATTGAAACGCATTTGAAACGCCAATGAATTCACTTCGGCCTATTGGATAAAGATAATAATTGATTCGGTCGAAGCGCTTCTTCTGTTTTTGAGAATTTTGGGTGCAAATTCATTCATATCATGGGTTCTTATTGGCTTAGTTCGGTAGCATTTGAACTAAAGTATCGTACCAAACGCTTAATTTACCTGTTCACACCAAAATCTCTACTGCTTCAAAAAGAACTATGTTTCGTCAACTGTGTGCGAAGCTAGCAAATGAGCATTTCGTTACCAAAACTGTTTATGTCAAGCATGGTTGTGATAGTGTTCCTAGAAAAGTAGAATCCATAATAAACCCATGCATTCCACTATTATAGCAACTAAAGTTAGCAACTACCACAACTACTGGGATAGTCTTCCTATTAATGGAGGACGAGATTTCTTAACAAAGGATACGGCCATATCACAAGAGTTCAATTTACCCGAACAGAAGGAGAAAAATGCAGATAGCTATCAATTAACAACTGTGGAAGTGCTTGAAGAGCACTTACATATGTAACATAAGTCCTGGGAATACTTTCAGGTGTTTACACACACATATGTCAACCAATACACTTGTCACGCTTATCTATACTACTACTGAACTGTCAAACTTAAATTGCGCAGTAGTTTCCATTTAAAATGTCGTACAAGCTGGATTTATGTGCACAAGTCGCCAACCTTTTTGGACGGCTCAGTACAAGTGAAATTCTAAGCGTGTTCAAAGACAAGCCAGTATCAAAATCAACTATTTATCGTGTTTTGAAGGATTGTCGTGATGGCAAAGAACCAGGATATAAAAAGAAATGTGGTCGCCCAACAAAATTGAGTTGCAGAACAACCAAAAAATGTTGTCAAGTGCTGAAAACAAATTTGGTCAATCAACACTTAAATTAGCACGGAAACTTCATGTTTCAAACATGAAAATCCATCGGATAGAAAAAATACAACGTAATTTATCGGAAACGTCATCGTGCTCTAAAATATACACAGCAACAACTAGAAAAATACCAAAATGTTGCCGTGCACTTCGTCGCGAACCTTTTGCGAATGGAAAATGCATCATTTTGGAACTGAGCAAAAAATACCATTTGTACCAAAAAAAGACTATCCATCAAACGTGCCTCAGGCTCGTCCAATCGGGTGTACTCAAGGCTACGGTGTACGACAACGGCTGGGAGGCTCAAATTGAGCAACAATTGGTTGATCGAATCAAGAAAAATTTAAAAGAAATCGTCAAAGACACTGTCCAAACCCTGATTCAACAATTTCGCTGCACACTGCGAAAAATCGAAGATAATGGTCCATTTAGTGTACTGTAAATACATTTTTCAACAGTTTATAAATAGAATAAAATACCCTGAAGAAGATTTTAAAATTAAATTGTTTGATTTCAAATGGCATGCTTTTGATTTTTTATCAGGACTTATGTTACATATGTTAAGTTGGGGGTCGGCGTAAAGTTCCAGTGGAGACGTACTAAAGCCAAGGAATGGTACAATAATCACTCCCTACGAGAGACCAGCCCCCCAATTTTTTGATAATTTTAACTTAAAGTGCAATAAATATACTTTGCAAAACATTTGAAACTTCAAAAATCCATTGAAACATCACTAAGATACAGCAATTTGAATTTGAGGTCATATTGACCCCGGAGTACAGACAACGTAATTTTTTTTTTGCTCAGGCGAAGGGTTTATTGAAATACATTTATTTAAATGACCTCAAATCGCTTTTGACAATAATGCTATTTTGTAAAGCCTTTAGACGTCGGTAATAATTAAAAGTATCGAAGAAAATGTTTCCTGGTGATGAATTATAAACTCCTGAGATTCTGTGAACCCCAAAACCTTGAATCGAACGACTTAAATGCAAACTAGCGTCAAGTGACGAGATATATATTGGCCGCTTATCTTCTACAAGATTGAGCACGCACACCGCATTACTAATCACCCTATTTCGCGAAGATGGTTGCCGAATAAAGGAGAAGCTTCCAAAAAGCAGGAGCCCTACTTCGACTCCAGAAACAACCAGAGCGAGGCAAAATGCCCCATCACTTACCGATCTCTTATGGATATCCCACATCCGGCACATTTTTCAGGTGTCACCGTTTCGGCCGCAATGAGATCCTTTAGCATTTTCTTCTTCTCGGTTGTTCGTTGTGAGTGTGGTGTGTGCTCAAGACTCAAGTAGTGATATGTTGGTCTCTCGATTCACGCGCCACAGCCGTTGCCGCCACCCGTCGTCGTCCACAGGGGTGTTCAAAGGTGGACCATAAATTAAAGTTAAAACTGTGTCAATTAATTATCGGATGATTGATGTTCGCGTCGCTTTCAGCGAAGATCCACACGCGGAAGGCTTGCCGTTCCCGGTCTGTAGGCTTCTGTTTTATGTTTTGGACCGTTTACCGTACGGGACTGGAACCCGAGGTGGTGGCGGTGGTGGTCAAGATAGTAGACGGTTATGGTTGGATCGTCGGTGGAATGTTTGCTGTCGGCTTCCGTTGGAGGTGACCGGCGATGTCAACGATGTCGCCGAGCGGTTACCAGGTGATGATGATGATGATGATGATGGTTCTCGTACACCGTTGTAGCTAATGTCGTTACAGCGCCATGGGAACGAAGATGACGGGGTGGACATGTTGTATGCTGCGAAGCGAAACAGAAAAAAAAATTAGGTTAATTAGTTGGAAGGCTTCAGAGGATTGTTCATACTCTACTATTACCTCCATAAGTGTTTTACTACAACATACAAAATACTTTGAAATATAAGTTCCAAAATTGATTCTTTATAAGTTACAAAAGCTTTCCATTAAGTCTTCGATGTCTTAATTCGGTTGACAATGTAACATATTATCACATCGACGATCCTACGCTCCTAAAGTTAATCGATGATCATACTACCAACCAGATGTAGTTTGATCACCGCTTACATATAGCCATAGGTATCAACTTGCTGTAAAACACATACACACAAACCTCACACTCATTCATTAAAAATCGCTTAATTCAGCGGAAAATTTGCATGAAATTAGCATAAACGAAACCGCGTTTCACACTTTTCCATCGCGCGCGCATTGTTCCATCAAGGAATCCTACTATAGTGAACACTGCAACTGGTGGTACCCCCTTGAGCAATCATGCAAACTTGTAGTAGGTAGGTAGGTAGTTGTCCGTTTCGGTAAGGAGCATGACTTTGGCTGGCTGGAGGAGGTTTCCATAATTCAATTATGCAGTCGTCGCGACGGAGGCAGCAGCAGCAGCACCAGCAGGGTAACAAGTCGTTATGAATGAAATCTTTATTAAGTGGAAATCTACTCCACCGTTGGCGGTAACATGGCTGCGGGATGTTGGGATGAAGGGGTATATCTACCTCCTATCGTAAATTGTACGTGACAAAGTTGAGTCTTGTTGCTCTAGTTTTTTTTTTCTTCATTAAGCTGTGTTGTTTCAACTTGCTTGGGTCGTGGTTGCATGTTATGCCGTTGATAGAACGATATGAGCAGCGCGCGCTGGGCAACGGATAAGTTTTAAGTCCGAATTTGCATGTGGTCTGCTTGTAAGCCGGTTGGAACATGAACTTAAATTAAATTTGACTTTAATGTCACTTGATGTTGTCTTAAATGCTGGTCACTGTTAAGTTTAGCAGACGCATAATGAGATGCATTATGAGGTTTTTTGGAAGCGATTAACTTCAAGATGTTTAACATATATTCAAACTCTTATGCAATACAACACCATGGGATCTTTATTTTTCAAGGGGTTACTTTTACTGACAAAACCTCAAGGTTGCAAACAGCGTGGCTATGCATGTTGACATGTCTGATTCTCAACAATTTGGTTACCAAATTTTAAGATTGAACCACTATTTGAAAGGTATGTCTATCTACTTTTGAACGGAATTAACAGAGAACCAATTGGACCTGTGGTTGACCAGTCGGAACCCGAGCAGGAAAAAATAACTTATAAATACCAAATTCAGGCATGAAAATAGCATAACTGGCAACCTAAATATGGTATTAGTGAGGCTGACATGAGAGGTAAATTACCAAAAATAATACCTCAAAAATATTCTACGAATAACGAACTAGTAAGTAATTTAGTTATTACAATAACAAACGGATAACAGACGCTTTTTTTAGATGCCAGAATACCATAGTTTGTTATTTTGAAGGTCTTCTAATACCAATTCAATAACTCTTTTAGGTGTTATTGTCTAGAAACAGAAAGATCACACTTTTGTTATTTTGGTATTCATTTGATATTTTACGAAATATTTCGATAACTGAATACTATCAAAACAAGGTTTTATACCACAAGCATACCAAGATATGGAATCATACTTCGTTAAGATATTCATTTGTTATCGATTAACTATCGGTTCCTGCTCGGGAATGGGAAAACCCGTGAGAGGTGGCTCTGAGGAAATTCAGATTCACTGGGAAAATGGTCAATTCCTGAAAGTATACCTAGTATCCCAAGCAGGAACGAATACCTCGATACCTTAAATTGGTATGGATGAGCCTGACATAAGAGGAAAAATACCAAAAAAATTATAACAAAAAAATGTTCCCGAAATACCATCCCAATACCAAATTTTGATAATGCAATACCAAAACAATACCACACAGGTATTCTTTTGGTATCTAAATATCAATTTTTGTTATTTACAAAGTATTTTGCACGTAATTTGTTGGTATTATTCTTTGGTATTTTACCTCCTTATGTCATGCTGATCAATACTAATTGTTGGTATCAGGTCAGAATTAGGTATTAATTAGTTGTTTTCTCCTGCTCGGGATACCACTCTCAATCACCAAAAGTGCAGGTACGCAGCGATAAGTAAATTTGCCTGATGGTTTCCTGTGTAAAAAATCTCAAATCTGCCGGAAAATGAGGAAATTTGTCGAAAATTTTACTCATTCTAGGAGCAGTACCAATAGACTGAGTGAATCCAATTTTTACTTTTCTCATATTCGGGAAGTATTTCCTGCACAAACCTGGAAAAACATTTATAAGGCAAATGGAGTCATCGCTGATTTCGTGCTCTTTATGTGATTTAGAGCATGAGCATGAGCATGATTGACCACCCACGGATGCTACTCTGTTATTGTCAGATCAGCTGTTATTATACAAAGAACCAATAGACGATGCTTGGGACTAGCAATCATCCTCAATGTGTAAAAACAGATGATCCCAAACTAGGCAATACCAGCGCCAGCCGCGCCCGAACACAGGTCAAGAAATGAATGGGTAGGAATGTGTTTACGTGATACCCGCTATGTAGGAAGCCGAGAAATCTTCTGCACTTGCACGAGAAATCACTGGGATTTTGGATAAAAGGGTTGTGTTTGCAGCAGGATTCGTTTTGGTCACTGGCGTGCACAGGATGGGGCCAGGTAGGGCAATTGCCCCCTCTTTTATAAATAAGATTTTTATTTCCACATTGACAAAATTTTTATATGAAATAACTTGATTTCTTGATAACTTGATTTGAAGGTAAAATAACTTCATTTCATAAAATAAGGGCACTGGAACTGAAAACATTTTTGGCGTCAATTCCTTTGAGATTGTGTCTGAAAATTTCACCACAAATGTGCATGAAGGGACAAACTTCAATGAAATTTGTTGGTGCATACAAAAAATTTATTGTGTGATTTTTTTTTCAATGTGGTTCATGGAGGGTTAAAAGAAGAGGGTAAATTTAAGGATTAAGAATTCACGTTCATGGTGGTAAATCGAAGAAAAAGCTTTTAATCGAATATCTCTGGTGTAAAAATATCATCAAGGTGACTAATCAAAATGAATAACTCTGGTGGAAAAATTGAATCACGCTAAACATTTGGAGATGCACATTTAACTGAAAGTTTCTGGTGGAAAATTTGCAACACTGTGGTGAATGTAGAAACATTCAAATTTGCATTGAAAATAGCACCACAAAGGTACATGGTGAAACAAACTTCACTGACAATTTTTGGTGCACCGTTCTGGTGAATGGAGGAGCATGCTTTATTGAAAATTTCTGGTGAAAAATTGGCATCGCTCTGATAAATGAAATGAACAGAAAATTTCTGGTGGAAAACTTGGACTGGTGTGGTAAATGAAGGCACAAGCTTTATTTTTAATTAAACTATATTGAAAATTTCTGGTGGAAAATCTGCACCATTCTGGTGAACGGGTTGGCAAGCTTTTCGGAAAATTTTTGGTCATAAATTTGCATCCTTCTGCTGCATAGAGAAAGAAACTTTAATAATAATTTCTGGTGTAAATTTTGCACCAACCTGATGATTGGGGGGAAGCTGCTTTACTGAAAATTTATGATGAAAAATTTGAAAACAGGGGCAAGTTTTATTTGGTGGAAAACTTGCAACATTCTGACGATAGGAGAAGCAAGCTACATTAAAAATGTCTGGTGGAAAATGGAAAAAGACCAATCAGAAGATTTTTTTTTTATGTTTATTAATTTATTTGATAAGGTTCAACCAAATTAACTTTACAGAGCCGAGGATTGTTTTTACTATACAATACATCTTAAAACTATAGTCAAAAGGTACAACACAATAAATATTTTATCTTCCGCTATCGAATAAGCCTCCTCCACCAGAACGGGAGCCGCTTCCAGTGGTTTCATTGTATGGCAGATTCGCAAACGGGGGTCAGAGCGCTTCCATTGCAGCAATGGACGCAAAACGTGGTCAGCAGTCACACATTCATCACGAAACGGTTGCTTTCCGCAGTCGACGACGCATCGACTGAAAGAACTGCTGATGAAGAACAATGCGGAGGACCACACAATGGTTGCTGCCGAGTAAACAGACGATCGCGTGACACACATTGAGAGTGGTCTGCTTCTGTCGACAGCTGAATGAACACTCAATCAGAAGATTGGAGAAGCAATTTTTATTGAACATTAATGGTAGAAAATTTGCATCATTCTGGTATTGAAATTTTCTGGTGTAAAATTTTCTGGGGCAAGTTTGTATTGAAAATGTCTTTGTATTGTAAGATTTGCTACATTCTGCTGCATGGAAGGGCAAGCTGAATTGAAAATTCCTGATGCAAAAATTGCACAGTTCTGGGCAAGCTTTATTGAACATATCTGGTAGAAAAACTAAAAAGTTTCGTATGGCCGGATAACTTAAACTTGACTTCCGAGAAGAACCTCAAGGGTATTGAATTCTGAGAACAGTTCCAAAAGAAAAGATTTCTGAGCATGATACCATAAAAAAAAATCTGCGGATAATTTCTAGTGCATCCTGCAGATATTACCAAGATAATTTCGAAAAGAATAACAAGAAAATAAAATTTTGAGTGAAATTCCAAAGGGGTTTGAAGCAAAATTTCAAGCAAATTCCAGGGATAACTTCTGAAACTCTAAGGTGTTCTGAGAAAAAATCATGAAAAGTTCTTAATAAAATTCCAGTGGACTTCTGAGAAGAATTTCAAAAGAGCTTTAAGAAAGTTCTAAAAAAGTCCGAGAAGATCCTCAAGGGTATTGAATTCTGAGGACAGTTCCAAAGGATTTCTGGGGAGTATTCCAAGAAAATTCTGCGAATAATTTGTAGTGAATCCTACAGATAGTTTCAAGATAATTTCAAGAATACCGAGAAAATTTATTGTTGCGTGAAATTCCAAA